CTGCAGGCCTGCACAGCCCTCTTGTCTCACCAGAAGCACTTGACGGTGGGGCTGCCCCCAGAGCCACGTGAGAAGACCATCTCAGCGTGAGTGTGGTACCTCTTTCTTCCCATGCATTCCGGGCTGGGACTGGATGTGAGACAGCCTGTATCTCCTCCGTGGACCAGGAGGGATGCAGGGCTATCTATCTCTTGCTTACTCCACCATTCCCTCCTCAGCCCCATCCCCTACGAGGAGCTCGTTCGCCTCATTGATGAAGCCAGTGAGAAGAACCTCAGCGTGTCCATCCTCACCCAGGTGAGAGGGCACCCCACGGGTGGGTATGAGCTCTGTCGAGGAGCAGTGGGATGACCTGCCCCTGTCTCTCCAGGAGATCATGGTGTACTTGGCTATGTACATCCGCACCCAGCCAGCACTCTTCACTGATATGTTTCGAATCCGCATTGGGCTCATCATCCAGGTGATGGCAACAGAGCTGGCACACTCCCTGCACTGCTCAGGTACGTGCAGTGAGGTCAGTGGGGTGGGGGCTATGGTGCTTGGGGTCCTGTCAGTCAGGGAAGAGAAATGCCATTAAAAATGGGCAGCTCTCAATGCCAGGATGAGGCTGCATGAAAGTGGCAGGGTACATGGTTGGGACTGCTCTTGGGTACCTCCTGATAACAAACTGGGATGCAGGCTGGGAGGGTGAAAGGTGAACAACATTCCAACTCTTCTCTCCAGCTGGAGAAGCCACTGAGAACCTGATGAATCTCAGCCCGTCCAATGTGAAGAGCCTGCTCTACCACATCCTCTCTGGCAAGGAATTTGGAGTGGAGAAGAGTGGTGAGTCTCTTGGGGGGGCTGAGAGCAGAGCTGGGCAGAGCTGGGTCCTGGTGCAGAGCTTGGCCAGTTCTGGGCGTCCCTCGCTGTGTAGAACGTCCCCCTTCTGCCTTCACAACACAGCTTCTGCACTGCAGTTATCTGTGATCTTCAGCAGGATGATCTCTGGGTGTTGAGGCTGAGCCCGCTGGCTGTCAGGGCTTTCCTTAGCTCAGTTTTTAGTATGATCCAGCCTGAGTTGAAGCAGCTTTGTGCTGTAATGCTAGCTGGGGATACAAAGCAAGGCTATGCTTAAGTACCAGTGCCGTGCAGCAGTGAGGGACATCTGTGTCCTGAGAATCAGTACCCACTCCAGACCTCTCTGCTCTCCTCCAGTGCGATCGGTGGACTCGTTGGTCACCACTGCTATCAACATCTACGACGTGGAGGCTGCTGGGGCCACCAAGACTGAGCGTACTGGCATCATCAAGCTGAAAAGTGAGATCAAACAGGTGAGAGCAAGCAGTGCAGACTGCTTCCCCAAAGGTTTGTAGGGGCAAACAAATATAGGACAAGCAAGGTTGATGGGAGAGCAGAAAAGAGTTTGCTCCTGGGCTATAGATAGCTTACAGCTGCCTCCAGAAGCCCCTTTTGGCTCACTCCTGCCCTGGGGGGGGATGTGGGGTAAACCGTTGAGTAGGAGTTGCTCTGGCAGTGTAATTTGGGGGGAAGAACAGGCGTGCATGAGAAGATGCAGGGGTGGGGGAGGCGGGGGGAGGACCATGCAGCATCCCTGGTGGGGATGGTGTCCTGGTGGGCCCCGTCCAGCGACAGAAACTTCATTACCTTCTTCTCTTGCAGCGACTGGATAAACGTAGGCAGTCTCTGATCGGGAGTAAGGTGAAGCCACCTTGGTCCTCCTACAGCCTCAGCTTTTATCTGTCGTGCTGCGTACCAGGGCAGCTTCTGAGCGTGCATGAGTTAATGAGCTTTCCTGAATGAACCCACTGAGTGAGCTGCTGCAGCAACGAGCTGGCTTCCCTTCTCGTCAGGCTTAGGGTTGCTCTGTTTAGGACAGTGGGGAGGCCTCAGGTCTGGGAAGAGGTCAGCAAAGCTAAATGTGGCCCCGTGGCATTCAGGGAGCTTCCCTTTAAGTGGGATCTGCTATGTTGAGGCCATGGAAGAGGAAGGTTTCTCAAAACCATGGGTGCCCTGGCATTACAACCAGCTGGGAGCTGTGCTGCATAGCTGCCGCAGTCGAATAGATCCCACTGTACTGGCAGCAAATGCTGCACGGTGGCACTGTGTCTCCACTGCCACAACCCAGCGGTGCCATACCAGGACACTGACTCGTGATATTGATCTCACCTGCACTCCCTTGCTACTTCCTCTCAGTCTCACAGCAGACAAGTGCCTCCTCTGGGGCTTGGCTTGTGTTTAGCTGTGGGCCTGGCCTACGGGGACCAGGTTGATGCAGCAGCTGCAGAGTGAGGCCTGGTGTCACAGAGGGACCGCACACATGGCAAGGACAGTCCCCCACCTGCTGCTGGCCCTCCTGAGACTAAATCTGTGCCCATGCCAGCAGAGCAATCGCAGCCCTGCTTCTCCTCCAGTGCAGTCCTTCCCCTGATGCTAACATGAGACTTTCTGCATTTTTGCCTCTGAAAACTTCTTCTCAATGTCCAGCTAACCACAGCCCCTGGGATAACTGCTCTGCGACCTGAGCTTGGTCCGTGCTGCTGCTGCTCTGCTCATCATGATCGCTGCCTTGCGTCGGCACTATTTGATTTATATCTCTCCCTTTCTCTTGCAGTCTGCAGACAGTGACCTACTGGCCTCTCTGGTAACCTGCGTCTGTTGTCTGTGTGTGGGGGGTTTGTCATGCTTTGTGGCTGCAGGAAGGAGCAGTGCTCCAGCTGGCCTCCAGGCTGTGGGGAGCTGGGGCTGCGGGGAGGGCTCTGTTGGGGACAGCTCTGATGGTGGCAGCTCTGCCCCAGGAACAAGGCTAGGTGGGCACAAGCTCTCAGGCAGCAGTGTGCTGTGCTCTCATTGAGTATTTAACCCTGCAGCAGTTCCTTTTCTCCTTGTTTGTCTGGCCAGTCCACTGGACAATCAGAGTTGCTGGAAAAAGGCTCCTTTTCAAGCTTGCTGAAAGACCAGGGCAGTAAGGACAGTCGGCAGGGCCAGTGGAAGCGGAGGCGGCGACTGGATGGGGCTCTGAACCGTGTCCCCTTGGGTTTCTATCAGAAGGTCTGGAAGGTCCTGCAGAAGGTGAGCTGGATGTCCACACCTGAGCCTATGGTCCCCAGACACTTGCCTTCCTAAGAGGAACCGGGCACCGATCGCTCATCCCTGAGGTTGTGTTGGTATGTGCTTTATGAACAAGGCTTTCAGCTGGCCCTGGAAAGCTGGGGAAGAGCTGGAGCTGCCTTGTAGGCGTGCAGCACCTACTTTGCCCTGTCCTTACCCTTGCAGAAAGGGGCTTGGTCTGCTCAGGAGCCTTACGTGTTGGGCAGGGCTGTGAGCTCTGGGAACCTGGTGTTGGGATCACAGCTCTGCGCGCTGCTCAGCATAATGAACCAGGCAGCAGAGCCTTGTGCTGTGTGTGGGAGCGCTTTGGGTCATGCCAAGCTGGTGTTTAAGGAGTGACAGATTGGAGGCAGGAGGTGGAGCTGGGGCACGCGGGCAGCATGCAGTGACGTTCAGCTGAGAATGAGGGTGCAGTGCTGCTCCAGGCTGTAACCGTGGTCTCTACATCTTGTTCTGCAGTGCCATGGTCTTTCTGTGGAGGGCTTTGTTCTCCCCTCTTCAACAACCGAAGAGGTAGGTTTACCAGTTGGGGAACAGGATGGGTGCGAGGCCACTCTGGGTGAATGCCCAGCCTGGTTCAGGATTTGTCCTGATGATAACAGCTCTCTGTGTGCATTTCTTCTTGCCTCTGTGCAGATGACCCCAGGGGAAATGAAGTTTGCTGTGCACGTGGAGTCGGTTCTCAACCGTGTCCCCCAGCCAGAGTACCGGCAGCTGCTGGTAGAGACGATCTTGGTGCTCACCATGCTGGTGGATGTGGAGGTGCACACCATGGGAGGCATCATACCTGTGGAAAAGATCCTGCACGCAGCCAATGACCTCTTCTATGAGGAGCAGGTAGGGGCTGCAGGTTGCGCCCAGACTACTTAGGGGTCAGTCAGCCACGCTGAGGACCTGCCTGTTGTCCTCATGGGGCACAGCAACAATGCAGCATCGAGTGTGGGGTGCAAGCTAGCAGGCAGCAGCCCTTCTTCTTAATGCTTCTGTTCTCCTTCCCCATCCAAAATCCAGAAAGCCCTGGGTGCTGATGACCATATGCTGGAGAAGGATCCCTCGACGGGCATTTGTGACCTGCTGTACGACAGCGCACCGAGCGGCCGCTTCGGCACCATGACCTACCTGTCCAAGTCAGCAGCCCTGCACCTGTACGACCTCCTGCCCGGAGATGGCTGTGCCATGCAGTAGATCTCCTGCTCTTGTCCCCGCGCTGTGGACTCCTTGAGAGGCATTATTGCACACTGCTTTCAGCCATGGACCTTCAGGCTGTGTTTGTGGCGTGGTTGCCTGGCCTCGTGCTGGGAGCTGTCGGGGAAGGGCTGAGCTCACAGCCCTGCCTTCTGCTCCGGCTCGCCTTAGGGCTGGGGGTCAGCAGGGACCCCTGCAACTGTTCTCCTGCCACATTGGAGGGTTTTAACCTGTTCTGTGCTGCTTTTCCCTCTAAACATGCAGGGTTTAGTCTAGTGCCCTGCTAGGGATAGTGCTGCTGGACTGAGGGGGAGCGCACCGTGCCATCCCCGCACCTTTTATCCCCTTTTATTTATGGTAGGGGAAGCAGTTTCACGTGTGTTTTTTGACCTCCGGTCTGGGTTGCCTTAATGCTGCAGGCCTCGGGCCTTTTTTAACAAAAGTCACATTTTTTCAAACGGAAAAAAAAAAAAAAAAAAAAGAAGCTCATTCGTGCTGTGTGGAAGCCCGCAATAAAACGTTTCCAGCACGCGTGTGCGCAGTGCGTCCCTCATTGGGCGGGCCGAGGGCGGGAGCCGCCATGTTAGCGGGCCTCGATGGGAGGACTATATGTCCCAGCGTGCCTCGCGCGGCAGCAGCGCTTCCCAGCACGCCCCGCGCGCGGACTACAGCTCCCGGCGTGCCCCGCGGCGGTGAGGCCGGGCGCCCGGCCCGGTGTGGCGGCCCTGATGGCGGCGGGGCCGCCCGTGGCCTACGTGTACAGCCCGGAGTACGCGGCCCTGTGCGATTCCCTGTGCAAAGTGCCCAAACGGGTGGGCTGCAGGGGGGTGGGCCGTCGGGGGGCGGGCCCGGGGGGGGAGGGGATGAGAGGGGAGGGGGTCCCGCTGAGGGATGGCGGCGTGAGGGGCTGTGTGTGAGGAGGGGTCCCGCTGTGTGAGGGGAGGCCTGGCGGTGTGAAGGGCTCCTTCCGGGCACCGCGGGCCGCACGGCCGCTCTCACGCTGATCCTCGTCTTCCTTTTATTTCTCCCCCTAGGCCAGCATGGTGCACTCATTGATCGAGGCGTATTCCTTGCTCGACCACATGATGTAAGTGACTCCGTTTTCTGCCAGGAGAGCCTTTTCCTCTCTGCTGAGGTTTGGTGATAGCTGAGCTGTCCTCTTGCAGCCCTCACTCGCTGTGTGGCTGTAGGGCACCTCTAGGATCTAATGATGGCCTCCTTGTTAAGTGGACTGCGTGGTAACGCTTGCAGGTGTCATTCATAGCTACCCTCCTGCCCTAACACAACGTGCACACTGCCTCCTGCTGCCTCCATGCAGTTCCTCATGGCTTCAAGCCGTGCTGATGCAGGTCGAGTTCATGGGCAGCACTGAGACTCAGGGAGATTGCGCTGTTGTGCTGCGCTGCTCCTTGGGAGCCTTCTTAGGAAGTGTAGGTACTGCTCAGGAGAGGAGACGGAGTGAGGTCTGGAGCAGAAGGGTTAGAACCCATCTTTGGGGTCTTCAGATTGAGGATATGAAGGGGGGAGGAAAGACTTAAGAGGAAGTTTTTCACACAGGGTGGTGAGGCACTGGAACAGGTTGCCCAAGGAGGCTGTGGATGCCCCATCCCTGCAGGCATTCAAGGCCAGGCTGGATGTGGCTCTGGGCAGCCTGGGCTGCTGGTTGGTGACCTGCACACAGCAGGGGGTTGGAACTGGAGGAGCATCGTGCTCCTTTGCAACCCAGGCCATTTTAGGATTCTGTGACTACTTTCTCTCAGTATGAGGACAGAGATGTTCTCCAGACACAGCAGAGTTAAGAGCAGATAGGTGTCACTGCTCAGCTCCTGCTCCAGCAGAATGGTGTCCTAGAAGCGTTGTGCCTGCTAGGAATCCGACTGGGACAGCAAACAGGAAAGGGAGAAAAACCCTTGAAGTGAGGGTGAAAGGTTAATTTCAGGCAGCACCTGTAACAGTTCCTTGTTGGAGTGAGCACAGCAGCCAGTGCTAATCTTCTAAGGCCTGTTCCAGCTTTCTACTCAAAGTGGCAGTTGGGTATGAGACAGGGATGAATTTTTTTGTAGTTTTCTAGCAGCAGTTGCCAAACTATCTGAGGAGGTCAAAGCTGTGCTTTGCAGTGGTGTCCTCCTGACCTGCCCCCTTTTCTTTCTGCTAGGATAATCAAGCCCAAAGTGGCTTCCATGGAGGAGATGGCAAGCTTCCACACAGATGCTTACCTGCAGCACCTGCAGAAGGTCAGTGAGGAGGGGGATGATGACCACCCAGAGTCTGTGGAGTATGGACTGGGTAAGGACACAAACTTTTTGCAATAGGGTAACCTGACAGGATGCTGTTTGCTAGTGGGCTGCATAGATGCCTTGGTGTAGCTTTGAGGTGCTGCCAAACCCCTCCGACCAGCAGTTGCCAGTCAAGTTGATGCTTTTTGCTTTGCCAGCAGAGGGTACTGTCAGCCCTATGCTGTTATTCTGCCTGTCATGGGAATGACAGCCTGAAATTGCCACCAGGAACCAAACCTGCACCATTTGCACGATGGTTTTGCCTGTTATCTTGAGCAGTAGGCTCTTGCCTGCTGAATTAGAAAGAGCTTGAGTGATGCACTAGTCCTTTCTGTCTCTGAAACTGCTCTATGTGCACTTGGAGGAGCAGCTCTGGGCTTGTACAGTGCTGGATCAGCTCTAGAGAGGCTGCTGTAGGAAATGGAGGAGATCAGGTCCTAGCCATGGACCTGTGAGATGCCTCAGCCTGCCTTCCTTGTGGATATCTCAGTTTTTAGTGGGAAAATGCATCTGCTGCTGCTGCATCAGGGCTTTCCTGGAGGAACACCAGAGAATTAGTGTGTGTTTTGCAAGCTTGCTGTGGGGTCAAGGTAGCTAACAGAAAGGTAGAGATCAGAAATGAGCTCAAAACTCCTTCAGTGAATCTGAATGACCGGAACATGAGAAAACCTCTTTTTTCACCCTCACATTTACCACTCCCTGTATCTGCCACGCAAGCCCAGATATGATACCTGTCACGAGGGTTTTGCACAGTGCTTTGTTTGTAATTTCGGTGTGCAGAGAATGGAAAGTCAGAGCTGTGCTTAAGGACCAGTAGCCCCAAGTGTGCTTTTCCCTTCAGCAGTGCCTGATGCTGGCTGTCACCCACAGGTTACGACTGTCCGGCTACTGAAGGGATCTTTGACTACGCAGCAGCCGTGGGGGGAGCCACCATCACTGCAGCCCAGTGCCTGCTGGATGGCAAGTGCAAGGTAGCAATTAACTGGCCTGGAGGGTGGCATCACGCAAAGAAGTAAGGAAACAATCTCTTCCCTTGTGTTTTCTCACCTGCTGTCTGACCCAGCTTTCCTCTGGGGGAGGAGATCCAGCAGTGTGGTGTGAGAGGGGGGAGGGAAGGACACGGGACGTAGGGCAGCTGCTGCAGTGTGGCTCTGGGGTGAGTCCTGCTTCCTGAGACAGCTGCTTATCCTGGGGCTCAAGTGAGAATCGATTTTGCAAAGCACGTTGTGGTCCATAGAGAATGGCAAAGGATTGGTGTCCTTTCAAACCCGGATGAGTCTGGCAAAACATTGTCCAAATTGTTCTGTGTGGCTTTCTTGGTTTGTTGATAAGAAGAGTGAAGTCGTGCAAGGCTGACCTCTGATTTTGTTCGTGCTCTGAGATGTGGTGTCAATCACCAGTCACTGTCAGGAGATGAAGTATCGGCCTGAACCTTGTGATTATTCCCTGCAGGCATTCCAGGCCAGGCTGGATGTGGCTCTGGGCAGCCTGGGCTGCTGGTTGACAGCCCTGCACACAGCAGGGGGTTGGAACTGATGAGCGCTGTGGTCCTTTTTCAACCCAGCCCATTCTAGGATTCTGTGATTGTGGAGCACTAAAATAATTCCCCTGGCTTCCCTGTTCCCCACAGATGTGTGTTTAATTAATTGTGTCCACCATCTTCCAAAACACACCAGCAGCTGTGGGAGACAAGAGGCTCCCCAGAATTTTGCTTAAGTCACATCTCTGACCCTAACTCAAAAAGAATTGTTCCTTTGGTGCCAACAATAGGAAGCTTCCTGTGCTGTGCATAAAGGGCAGCTGTTTCCATGCACGTACCTTATTTGTGCAGCCCTGAGATGGGCAGAGCTCCTACCTCACCTCAGCTGGGGCTGCTGCTGGCAAACCCAGGGTGGAGAAGCAAGCAGTTGTGTTCTTGGTGAGCTGGGCTGCTCCTGACCCGTCTCTTCCTCTTCTCCACCCCTGTGAGATGAAGGCTTGCAAGTGCAGGTGGCAAAGCTGAGAAGAGCGGGGATTGCACTGGTGCCATTTAATCTTGTGGCTGTTTTTCTCACAGGGATGAAGCTTCTGGCTTTTGTTACCTGAACGATGCTGTCCTGGGCATCCTGCGGCTGCGCCAGAAATTTGACCGCATCCTTTACATCGATTTGGATTTGCATCACGGGGATGGTAAGGCCTGGCACAGCCTGCAAGCTGCATAGACTTGAGTAAGGCTTCACGTGGTGCAGCAGCAGTGGCTTTGCCCTTTTTCAGTGCAAATTCCCTCAGCCCAGTTCTGCCCATGCCCTGCTTTGTGGCTGTTACTCTGCCCTCTCATGAGGTTCTGGGCAGCACTGTTGTACCTAAAGCAACTCAGTGCTGTTCCTGCTGCAGTTACCTCTCTGGTGAGAACACTGGAACAGGTTGCCCAAGAAGGCTGTGGATGCCCCATCCCTGCAGGCATTCAAGGCCAGGCTGGATGTGGCTTTGGGCAGCCTGGGCTGCTGGCTGGCGACCCTGCACACAGCAAGGGGTTGGAACTGGATGATCTTTGAGGTCCTTTTCAACCCAGCCCATTCTAAGAATGATGATACATTCTGAGAGCTTCCCCAGGCCCATGTCCCCATCCTCAGTGACAGCATTTAATTCATCAGTGTCACCGTTGCAAAGGGGAAGCAGTCGCTAACAAACGTTGCTTTTAAAAGAAGGCAGGATGCTATGAAACTGAGAGCAGAGAGGGCCTTGCTGGGAGACTCCTTGCTTCAGGGACATCATTTCATCACCACTTCACATTTCTGTTCTCCTAATTTATGGTGTGTTGCATTTCGCTCCGTTTCCCCCCTACATTTGGTTTCTGTTAAGTTCCCCGTTACTTCTTTTTTCCCTTCCCACCCTTACTATTTTAATACATCCTTGAGGAAAAAGAAGAGCCACGTGGAATTGCAGCAGCACTGAGAAAAGCAGGAGAGCCCAGTAGCTCTGATTCTAATCAGGGCCAAGCTCCAGGCAGAGCATCTGTGCTCAGCTCCCTCCCCAGCCTTGCAGATGAGCACTGACTCGAGGTGTTGGGTCCCCCTTGGTTCTGATCAGCATGAGACCTGCCAGATTCATTTCAGTTGTGACCACTGCTGCCTCTGAATTCGGATCTCCATTGGTGGAGGATGGCTTTAGTGAGCCACTTGTGTTTTTCTGTTTCATTCATTGCATTCCTGCTCTGCACACAGTATTTACTGGTCATCTTGTTACATTCTGTCATTTACAAGAGTGGTGCATGGAAGCTTTTTACTTCTCCATCTTCTGACAGGTGTTGAAGATGCCTTTAGCTTCACCTCGAAGGTCATGACTGTTTCCCTGCACAAGTTTTCGCCAGGATTTTTCCCAGGCAAGTTGAACTTGCAAGGTTTGTGCTGATTTGATTCACACAGCAGCAGTGAGGTCACAGCACAGGCACATCTCACCCTCATCAGCAGAGGTGCCTTGCTGCCTAAATGTTCCCTCTTTTTTGACCCGGTAGAAAGAAAAAGGGGGAAAGTGTTTATCTGATGTATCTCCTCCTTTCTCCTTGCAGCCTCTTGGCAGAGGCACTGCTGGCTGCCCTTGGAAGTTTAATCACAAGATGGGGCAGAGGGCCAGAACCAGGTCCATCAAAACCTTCCAGTGGCAGTGTGAAGTGGGCCCGTGTGCCTCCATAGACTTACCAGGCACTGGCACTCTGCTCTTGCTTGAGACGTGCCTCACGTTTCTCTCAGTGCTGAGCCTCTTTTCCTCTTCTTTAACCGCTGCCTGTTTCCATTTTCCAGGCACAGGAGATGTGACAGATGTTGGCCTGGGGAAAGGTCGCTATTACAGCGTGAATGTGCCTATCCAGGATGGCATTCAGGATGAGAAATATTACCAGATCTGTGAGACGTAAGCCCTCTTGCTCTGATACGATTTATTTGGATGGAGTATTAGAGACCACGTGGATTTTACTTGTTTTTAATCCCTCTTGGCAAGGGGCTGATGAAGGTCCTGGGGTGAGATCTGGGTAGTGCAAGCTCTTTGGTTTGACACCACAGTGGTTTATAATTGCATGTCAAATAAGAATTGGAGTTGCTTAACCTGCCTTCTCAACCAAGGCAGAAGCATTTATCCCAGGAACCACATCTCTTTCTTATTTTAGAGGAATAAAGACACTGTTGTGAAAGAAATGTATTTTTCTTCATGATGTTTTGGGCTTTAGAGTGCAGTGCTGGGAACGGGATCATTCTCTTTGGGGCCAAGAATCTCCTTGAGCAAAGTCCCAGTTGCCTTCTGCAAGAGAATACTTGTAATAAAGAATGGAAAGCACACTGCCCTCTATGTGTGTCAGAGCCAGGGGAGCTGTGTTTTTGCTCCAGGGGGATGGGAGAGGGCAGAGTGATAATGTGGAGCCACCTCTGTTCCTCCTGTCCTGTGCTTGTGAGAAGCAGCAGGAGCAGACGTTGCTCTGCTCTGTCACAGGGAAGGATTGCCCCCAGGCCTGGCTTCCAGCCCTCCTGCTCAGGGCAGCCCATGTACACGTGTAGTTTGATGCTCCCACTGAGCTAAGCTGGTGGTAACCCTCTGCTTCTCTCTGCAGCGTGCTGAAGGAGGTGTATGCTGCCTTCAGCCCTGAGGCAGTGGTGCTACAACTGGGGGCTGACACCATGGCTGGAGACCCCATGTGCTCCTTCAACATGACGCCTGAGGGGGTGGGCAAGTGCCTGAAGTACGTCCTGCAGTGGCAGCTGGCAACTCTCATCCTGGGAGGAGGTGAGTGTGTGCACGTTTTGATGGTGGCAAGGAAGCTGCTTGGTCCTCCAGGAGAGCAAGTCTTTGGCCTTAACAACTGGGTGGCCTCAGGCATTAAATACGTGGTACCAGCAGATGCCAGGCTGTGTTGCTATCCTGCCTCAGACATCTGACTGTGAGTGGGCTCATGTGGGTCGGAACAGAGGCCGTGTCTGTGGGTAGGCTGGGAAAGGGAAGAAGAGCCCCCAAAATTTGGCCTGAGGTGAAAATGCCAAAGGAGTGTCCCACCACCACGGCTCAGAGAGGCATTCGGAGTGGAAATCTTGGGGGGGAGAACTGGCACTTGGCAAAAAACAAGGCCAAGTGAACAGTGGGATATGCAATCTCCCTCTTTTCCAAGCGTTTTTTTCCTCCTTATTTTAGTCTACTGGAGAAAAGCACTTTCCAAGTCTGTCATAGGGTTTCTCTCAGCCAAGGTCCCCCCTGTGAGGTCATGCATAGCCATGATGGACAGGAGCACTTCCATGCTGCCCATGAGACCTCCTGTACTTGTGAAGTAGTCGCCAGCTGACATATCTGAAGCTGATGAGTACCTCTCAAACATGACTGCTCACTAACAAATGGCTGGACCTGTGTATTTTGCTTTATGGAACCAAGGCTGGCATTAAAAAGCAATTCCTTGTCTCTCCTGCCGCCCTTGCACTGCTATCCCTATTACTGATGAAAACCTGTCCTTGTTGGCAATTCTGGGTCTACAGAGGTGTCTGGAGGAGCTTCTGCAGCTTGTTCCCTCCAGTAAAATCTCTCTCTTCCCTTTTCCCCAATCTTTCCCTCCCAAAATCACGATTCTTGCTGGAGACAGGAGGCTACAACCTTGCCAACACAGCCCGCTGCTGGACGTACTTGACTGGGGTCATCCTTGGCAGATCTCTGTCCTCTGAGATCCCTGATCACGAGGTAAAGTTTTCCCTAATCCCTTCTCCTTACACAAGAACAGAGTCATCCCACCTCATCCACGAGGCACACTCAGCTCAGTGCTGTTTGTTGAGAGCCTCTCCTGTAACAATAATGCGCTTCCCTAACAGCGCAGTGGCTGCTTGTTCCCAAAAAGTGAAGCTGTCTGCGTCTTTTTTGAAAGGTTCTAAGAAACCAATAAGCTCCAGCCTCAGATAATTACAGAGGATGAGGAGGTGGAGTCATCTGCTCGCTCAGATTGCTCCTTGAGATGTGCCAGGGAGAAGGAACATGTGAAAATCCGGGTCAGATGGAGCATATGGTGCTTGTGTATGGCCATGCTCCGTCTTGCTGGGGATGCTGGATGGGACAACAGGGGGATTGTGGAGTCTCGTGAGCCTGGTTTGGCTGCTTACCCCTCTCCTGTTCCTGCAGTTCTTCACAGAGTATGGTCCTGACTACGTGCTGGAGATCACACCCAGCTGCAGGCCGGACCGCAACGAGCCGCAGAGAATTCAAGAAATTCTTAACGTGATCAAAGGTGAGCAGTCAGGTAAAGCTGGCACTCCTGCTTTATTTTGGCCTTTTAGGGAGGACTTCTGGCTCACTGCAATCTTCCTTGCTAGCTGGAAAGATGAAACCCATTTCTTTGTTTGCTCTTAGTACATCTCCCACTTCTCTTGGGATTCTCAGGAGCACATTTAGTTCAGAGCTGTGGTCTCGGTTAGCAAAAGGTGCTGTTGTGCTGTTGCCTTTCCTCTAGCTGGGCAGAGAATGGATCTGCTAAACTGCTCTGAGTGCTCTGGGATGTCCCGGGCTGGGCCATGCCATCAGGCTGAGGTTGGGCTCAACCCTTTTTCCTCTTCTATTGCAGGCAATCTGAAGCACGTGGTTTAGTGAAGAAGGGAAGGCTCAGGTTCCTGTAACAGCATTGCTCTGTTGGAGAGATGTTTCCAGAGCAGCTGATGACATTTGTGGCTGCAGGAGGAATATGAAGAGGTTACTGTTGGTTCGTTGGTGAATCCATTTCTCTTTAAAAAAGCAAAGCCTGCTGTGTGCCATGGATCTCCATGGGTGGGAGAGCGTGCCCTCCAGCCACAGGTTTCCCAGGCCAGCAGAGCCTCTCTTGCTCATCTCTCTTCCCTTTTTTAACGTGGTTAAAGTTTATTCTCACAACTGGTTTTAAATGTTTTTTAAGAGACAGGCCACTGCAAGCTGTGTTTTAAACTGATGGGCATTTTTTTTCCACATAAAATATTTGAAATACTCCAGCCCTTTTCCTTTCGCCCTGTATCTGCCCTGCCTTGCCTGCACTCAGCGTTAGTAACCATCCCTTCAGGGGAAGAACCCCCAGTGCCAAATTGTGGGGCTCAGTGGGGTTTAGGTAAGGAGCAGGAGTGTGGTTGCCAGCCAGCTGGGTTGTCCCTCCCTGGGTGTCCCCATACGTGGGCTCCCCCTCCAGCTGCCTTACCAACATCACCCACTGCAGCACTGGCACCAACGGACCCCTTCTTGCCCCCTACCCTATGCAGGGAGGAGATGGGAGGTGTACCCAGCATGGTTAGTGGGGGGAACGTGGGCTGGCCCCATTTTGGATAGGGTGCATGTGGAGAGATCCCAGCTTGGGGCACAGGGAGGAGATGGGGACGTCCCAGCTTTAATGAAGGGAAACCAGCCTGGATGAGGAACCATTGGGGGTGGGGAAGGAAACCGTGAAAGGATCCCAGTCTGGATGGATGGGTTATGGGGGGTCCCAGCCTGGTTAAGGGGTGACTTGGGATGGTCCTAGCATGGAAGGGGAGCGCATGGAGGACAGCACTGCGCGCGGCCCGTCGCGGGAGGTGGGAGGTGGTGTCGCTCACAGCGCCCTCAGGACCTCCGCGCCGCCAGGGGGCGCACTAAGGGGAGGTGGTGCCGCCGCGGCCCGTCCCGCCCATATCAGCCTCGCACCGGAAGCGGCCTCCCTTTCCCGCAGGAGCGCAGCCATGGTGAGTGCGCGGCACCGCCGCTCCCCTCCGTCATCCACCGCCATCCGCCGCCTCCTGTGGGCCGACGCCGCCCCCGCCGCCGCCCCGGGCACGAGGGAACCCACCGAAGGGCTGTGGGAGGGACGGGAAGCCGGAGGTGGCCGGGGAGCCGGCGATGGGGGCGGCGGGCCTAGCGGCGGCCCCGCACTCTAACACGTCCCGTCCCGCAGGCCCGCGGCCCGAAGAAGCACCTGAAGCGCGTGGCGGCGCCGAAGCACTGGATGCTGGACAAGCTGACGGGCGTCTTCGTGAGTGCGGGCCGGGGGCGGTCGGGGCTGTGCGGGGCTGGGAGCTCGGCTGCGCTCCTCGGGGATGGTTTGTGAACTCTCAGCGTTTCTTAAGGCGGATCTGCCGTCCTGCCGGCGGGGCTGCGCCTTCCGCAGCTCGTAAGTGCCAGCTGAGGGTTTGGGCACCATGCGGCCATCCCCAGGTGCTGCTGCGGGCCCCGCGTTGCTTTGTGTGCCCATCCCGAGGCTCCTCTCCTCCTGCAGGCGCCCCGTCCCTCCACGGGCCCTCACAAGCTGAGGGAATGCCTCCCGCTGATCATCTTCCTGCGGAACAGGCTGAAGTACGCCCTGACCGGAGATGAGGTGAAGAAGATTTGTATGCAGAGGTTCATCAAGATCGACGGCAAAGTTCGCACCGACATCACCTACCCTGCGGGCTTCATGGGTGAGGTCCGGGGGGAGTGAGGACGGGTATGTCGTGCTGCTGGGGGGGCAGCGTTGTGAGGCTGTGTGGGGAGGGAAGATGCCCTGGTGACAACGAGGGAGAGAGCGTGGTTCAGCAGCCTTTATGTCCCATTTAAAGATGAGCTCTGTGCTGAGTTAGCGTTGGATAGCGTAGTTGTTAACTGCTGCTCTTTTATTTCTCTCTGTGAAATCAGATGTCATCAGCATCGAGAAGACAGGCGAACACTTCCGCTTGGTGTACGACACCAAGGGCCGCTTTGCTGTTCACCGCATCACAGCTGAAGAGGCCAAGGTGAGGAGCTGCAGCTTGTCGCTGTGTGGGCCTGGCCGGGTGTTCTCAGAGCACTGTTTGTTCCTTGGCATGTCCTGAGCTGGTGGTTTTGAATGCAGAATCCGTGCCGCCCTCGAGAGGATCAGCTCTTCTGCAGGGCCTTCTGGGTTGGGGCATGGAGCTTTTGTGGGGGAAAACGTGTTGGTGATGTGAGGGTGGTGCCCAGATGTACCTGCAGGTGCGTGGTCAGCTGCTGGCTGCTCTCGCTCTTGGTGTGGTTGGGTCACCTTTACAGAGAGCTTTGCTTGTTGTGGTTGAATGGGCAGAAGATTGCAGACTCAGGGCCACCACAAGCAGGGCTGCTGCTCAGACCCCAGTCATGCCCAGCCAGAGGTGCATTGTGCAGCACTAAGAAGCTGTGGGCAGCACTTTTAGGCCCTTCCCAGAAGAGAGTTGCTCTTAAAATGGAGTGTCAAGGAGGGACTCCTGTGCACCCTGCCTTAACCCAGGCACCTCTGCTGTGTGGTGATGCTGAGAGGAGAGCTGCTTGCTGGCTGTGCATTCAGAGCCCTTCCATCCCCAGCAGTGCGCTCACTTCTGGCTGCTGCTTTGTGTTAAGCTGTGAGTCCCAAGCTGGCTGGAAGTTGGAGGGTGCTGAGGAGGGCTGCAGGGCTCTGGTGGGCCTGGGGGATGGAAGCCTCTGCTGCATGGCCATGGGCTTCAGGGCAGAGTGAGAAAAACACTGCAGTGTGGGTACTTCAGTAGGAAAATGAAGGTGGTGTTTGTGCAGAGGCTGGGGAGCTGTGTCTGAGCAGGGCCGTGCTTTGCTTGCAGTACAAGCTGTGCAAGGTGAGGAAGATCTTTGTGGGCACCAAAGGAATCCCTCACCTGGTCACCCATGACGCCCGCACCATCCGCTATCCGGATCCCCTCATCAAGGTGAACGATACGATCCAGATTGACCTGGAGACCGGCAAGATCACAGACTTCATCAAGTTTGACACAGGTGGGTCGAGCATGTGCTGCAAGATGCTGCTTTCTTGGGAGACTGGTGAGCAGTGCAGAAGCTGAGGACAACTGCCAGGCACCTGTGATGTGAATAGAGAAGCAGCATCCTCGTGCAGGGAGTGATGTTTCCCTGTGCATCCGGAGCACCGGTTCCTCCTGTGTCTGGGCACTGGGAGGCGTTTGGGTGTGGGGACTCTGAACAGCTCCCAGAGCAAGCAGGCACTGGGCAGAAGCTGCTGGAAAGGTTGCTTGAGGCCAGATGGGGCTGTCAGAGAAAAGCCCTGGGCAGCGAGAGGAAGATTCCCTGCTCTCTGCTTTAGGAGCAGGCTGTGGGAGAAGCTTTCAGCTGCCACTGAGCAGCGTAGCAAAAAGGTGATAAGGAATGCATTGTATGGATGTTGGGACCAGAGAGAGCTGCATTGGGTGGTTCCTGTCCGAATGCTCCACGGCTCTGCCTCTCCCCAGGCTCTTGAGGAGCACCACAAGCTCTTGTCACAGCCCTCTCTCCTTCATCCTAGGAAACCTGTGCATGGTGACTGGCGGCGCCAACTTGGGCCGGATTGGGGTGATCACCAACCGGGAGAGACACCCTGGCTCCTTCGATGTGGTCCATGTGAAGGATGCCAATGGCAACAGCTTTGCCACCAGGCTCTCCAACATCTTCGTTATTGGCAAGGTAAGCCTGCTTGGGCTGAAGGAGAGTGTGTCCTCCCCTCCTCTTAAAGCCAGGAGTTATGGGTGTCTCCTGGGGGCAGCTTCTGCTCGCCTGTAAGCCTACAGAGCTGACTGCTCTGAATTCATAGCCGCCTTCCTAGAAGGGTTGGGGATGTTTGGAAGAGGAAACCCTGTAAAGTTTTCTTCTCAAATCATAGAAATCATCAAATGGCCTGGGTTGACCACAATGCTTATCTAATTTCAACCCCCTGCTGTGTGCAGGGTCATCAACCAGCAGACCAGGCTGCCCAGAGCCACATCCAGCCTGGCCTCAAATGCCTGCAGGGATGGGGCATGCACAGCCTCCTTGGGCAAGGTGGAGCTGAGCAGTTTAGGGGCATCTGCTCCATAGGAGTGTCCTCTCCCAGGAGCCTCAAATATTGCCATCTCTGGATCCTTAAGTCTAGGTTGGAAAAGGTTCTGATGGCTTTGGCACCACAGTTTCCTCAGGGCCTGCTGTTGAGCGAAGGACACCAAACTGCTTGTTGCCCTGCTCAGGCAAGGGCTGCCCTTGCTGCTTTTCCTCATTGAAAGGGAGGACTTTATAACCCTCTGAGTTCCTCAGTGTGATGTGGTCTCTCCTTCCTCACTTCAGGGCAACAAGCCATGGATCTCTCTGCCCCGTGGAAAGGGCATCCGCCTGACCATTGCTGAAGAGAGAGATAAGAGACTGGCAGCCAAACAGAGCAGCGGGTAAACTGCAGCTTGGGCCAGCTGTGGTCCTGAAAGTATGTCCAATTAAATTTTATTACCAAATTGGTGGCTGACGGTGTGATCCAGACATAAGGTATGTGCACAGAGCACACTGTGTCAGGATGGGGGTGGCAGGGCTGCAGGCTGGGCTGGCTGTTGGCACCTCTGGGGCTGGGGGACCGGCAGGAGAACCTGAGCCCCTTTGTGTCACCTGAGGGCTCTGTCACATCCATGCACCTTCTGTCCAGCTGAACGAGACCCTGGGCTGGAAAGGTCCTGCACAAGGCTCCAGGTGCTGGCGTTGTTTCTTTGTCAGGCATAGCTGGGCTCATGGCTTATTGCCAGCCTAACTCCCCCCTCCTGCAGAACGATGTAAGCTCTTTCTATTTGAAGGCTAAGGGTAGCCATGCCTCCCTCACCTCTGGTTCTTGTTCTGCTCCTTTTCCCATGCAGCCAGCTTCTCCTCCCCACTTTACCTGCATCCCTGCAGTGGGTTGGGGCAGAGGGAAGTCACTGTCATAGGGCTGCTGTGTTTTTCATTTCCTGCAAGTTGGTCTGGGAGAAAATGCAAAATGGGGGATGGGGGGAAATGCCATGTGTAAGAAATAACTTACAATATATAGATAGATAGAATCTTGGGTAATTTTTGCTGGACATGGAGTCCTGTGCCAAACAGTGGCTTCAGCTCAGCCAGTTAGAGCAGAAATCTCCAACAGATCAGAGCCCCAGCAACTTCTGCACCCAAAGCACCACCTTAAGGCAAACTACACTGTTCCTATAAACATATCAGAGTGGCAGAAAGTTAGTTACACACCAACTAAAGACACAACAAGTCTGAAAAATGGTGCCCTGTTGCACGCTACTCC